TTAAAACTTTAACATTTTATGCAGACTAGTCTGCCACGTACACCGAAGGATGCGATAGCTGACATGCAACGCATTAGTTGCTAGCAGAAAAGTGATAAAGATTTTGGACGTATTTAGTTGATTCGACCCTGCAACCTTTTAGTATGTACAAGCCTCGAATATCCTATTTTTTGTTTTGAGAGGGTTGGAAAGCAGACTACTCACCAAGCCAGCTAAGAGGCATTCCTGGTCAAGGAGCAGACCGAGTGCTTCAGGGCCAACCTGCCGTCTGGCGCGATTTTCACGCCACAACATGCATTTAGCTGAACCCCTCCTGTCAACGACTGCAGTTCAATCCGTACTGTAGCATTCAGTTCTAGTTTCTTAGGGACGTCTACAGCACACTGACACACCACATAGGCGACTAAGGACAAATTAATTGCTCCAACACCAATTGGACAGACATTTGGACTAACAACAAGGAAATAATCTGGGAGGTTGTTTTATGTTTACGCAGTTTTATATTTGTCACCTTTTGTGAGTGTGTGTAAATTTTAGTGTCAATCCTAAGCGTTCTCATTCTCTACCGCCTTCTCCAGGCAACGTTGCCTGAATGACAGATGTGGTGGCACAAGAATCCGTAAGAAATTGGAAAGGGGGCACTCCCATTACCCTCTTAATTTTCCATGTGATGAGTGTGTGTGTATGTGTGTGAAGCGGAGAAGAGACAATGAGTGCCAGCGCGGCGTCAGGAGCACCACCGGCAACCAGACACATTTGGGTATGTACTTCTTTGGTCAGAATGTGGAGCGTCATAGTTGGCACCTGCTACTGGCCTCGTAAGGGACTACGTCATGCGAAATTCTACACCATCCAACTCACACTCTACTCATATTAGTAGGTAAGTGGCGCCTCTTTTGTAACTGAGACAGTGCAGAGCGAGAATTCACTTCTTGTCGTCGCGTCAAACTGTGGAACAGGGAATAAGTTTGTTTAAAAGATTCCTTGCCGTACTGAAAATTGTTTTATAAAGCTGTACTGGTGCAAACAAAGATAAGATTCGGGATGGTAGATGTGGGGATTAGGGAAAGAGTGTTTGGAAGTTAATTCCACCATTTAGTCAAAAAACTTTGTGTCTAAGATGCTTCCACGTAGAGCCTTCTATAGTGGTATGGAAAGGTCATGTGGGTGCTTCCAAAGTGATCCAAATTGCGCTGTCTGATACTTAGTTGGTGGTCCCATCCCTGTGGGGTGTCGGGCTAACCTGCCCATTTGTCTCGAAGTGCCACCACATCACCCATCATTAACGCTTGCGCAATGCATAAATAAAAGAGAAGAATTAGTGAAGGGTAAAAAAAGAAAATTTGGTACTTTAATTACCATTTTAAATTGTTTCTTACCTCAAATGCCGAAATATCGCACCCATAGCGTGACCTTCTGCCTCCGTTAATAGCCTCGAAGTCAGACCAGCTTTACGAGCTCATTGCAGACTGGCAATTGCGAAGGGGCACCAGTGAGGAAGACATGAATAATACAGCCCATAGGAGTGGTAAATACACTTGAGGTGTGACCAAAGCTGTCTACGCGAGAACGTTGTGTATCAACATCTGTAACTAGAGAAGTAGGCAGCACTGGTGACCGCGTTGTAGGACCTTCTCTCCCTCCTGCCGCCACCGCCTTCTCTCCCCTACTCGTCACCATCTCCGTCTCCCCTTTCATTCTCTCACAAGACGACCTATCATCGCTGTTCGCTTCTCCGATTTCATCCACTCGCTTTGCTTGCTGACCCTCCCTTTCCTCGTTCATTCATCCACACACCCCTCCATATTTTTTTGTTGCACCAGTGTCCTATATCTCATTCTAAAAATGATGCAGCCACCACCACCTCTA